TTCGCGTCGTCGTCGGAGCCTTCTGTGTGAAGCTGATTCGGCCGGATTTTTCAATGACTGTCGCTAGCTCCACCTCGTGTCCTGACTCCTGAGTCCGGACCTGACCACACCATTTTTAATTTCTTAAGCACTTCTAAAGCAACTAACATAAACAGAGAGTTACTGTTTCCTCTCATCTACTGTGGCCAGTAATATTGTTTCTCTTTCGAGCTCTCACTTGTCTCTTGGCTTGTCTGTGTTGATCATGATTCTCATGCACAGACTTGTTTTAATGACGAAGAAAGCTGCTGCGAGAGAATTATTATAAACCAATCTCAAGCATGGCTGGGCGATGATCTGTTGAATCTACCAGTTTTCTATCAGAAACCTGAATAGCAAAATGAGGTGGTGAATGGGACAAAGACAATGCATGGCCGATCGAGCTCCACACTTTGTCAAAACTACCAAGGAATGGCAACAGGGTGGCTTCAGCAGGGATCATATTCCTTGTTCCCCATCTCAATTTTGAAACAAATCCTCATCCCTGACAGCCTCGATCCCTATTGAAAATAAAAATGACCCTCCATCCCCGATCCCTGACAGAAACAGGTTCCCCAATTTGGAACCCAATTCCCCAGAGTTTTTTAAATTAAAATTATTTAAAAAAAATAAATTTACTTAAAATAAGAGAAATTTTTTAAAAATAAAATATTTTAATGTGTATAATCTAAATCATATCATAAATAATATTATATATGTATATATTTAATATATGTAATCAAGGTCGAGGCAGGTTGAAAAATTCACTCTTCATCCCCAATTGAGTATCACTAATAAAATAATCGCTGCCCCGACCCATTTGGGTAAGGAAAACAGGGTATCAGACCGGGATGGAGAAAATTACCATCCCTAAAACAACCTAAGATATCGTCAAGAGTCCCCCAGGCAGCCCGATTGCCTACAGGCCCAGCACTGCAGCCACCTTGTGCTAGCTATATGAAGGGCCAGCTAGGCCTGGCCTGGTTTGGCCCAGGTCATTAATGTCTATGGTGTACCATCTAACGTATTATGTACTTGAATTTTGACTAGAATAACAAGGTCCACACCACATGGTCCACATCAATTGAATATTATTTGAATGTGGGGTTGCCATTAACTGATGTAGCGATTGGTAATATTCCAAGGATCATTTTTGGACTTCTGGACTGGTACAGATTAAAAAAAAAAAAAATAGAGGTATTCCATTTCAATGGTTACCAAACACCCCATAAACTATCCCATTCGATTTTCTTTTTGCACTTTTAGTCCAGCAGCTGCTTGATTCAAGCACTGTCCGTTGGTGAAACTTAGCACCATCACGGCTTAAATGCTCCTTTCACTTGAATGTTTTGGTAAAGGAAGGCTTCAGTGTCAAAGTAATGTCAATATATTGGATGATATTGGTACAAACTAGGGGAGACAATCAGAAACCCTTCATATTAGCTTGTAGGCTAAATCTTGGGTTTGGGTCAAAGAAGCCTTCATGACTGGGCCCCCATTACCTGCAATATTTCTTACATTTCAAGCCTCCGGGCCCACCGTCGGTTGGGTAATATTTAGAATATCAGTTGGACCAAGAATCAGCATTCAAATAATAAACATATGGCCCTTTAATTCTGCTGAATTTGATTGGGTGTGGACTGTGGAAAACCAGAAGACCCTCTTTGATAGTTCAGTCAATTATGCTGATTTTTGACACAACTAAGGCTATGTTTCAAATGGGCTATTCACACTGGTGGGCCTTGACATTTGAAACATTTGACAAGTGACAAATTTTAGGGGCCCAGACGGCCAGACCCATGTACAGGTCCTTTGTACTCAGTAAGAAAAGAAAAGAAGGAGATACTATGAGATGATGAAAACGAGATTTAATGTAATCCAGATATAATCTAAACAATAATAATAGAATAATGCTGAGCTGTTGAAAACATGACAAATCATTGTAAGGATCTGCTGCATGCAACGCTAAGATCAAGAAAAAGAGGTAAAAATCTACCAAAATTTACCTGCTCGATCAGTGCTACGAAATCAACAAGACAAGTCATCTTCTTTCTCCGAATGAGATGCAAATAGGTCGATACGACATTCAGTACTCTGGTGTATATATATATATCAAGTGTCTCTGTTGATGGAGCACCGTAAAACTAACATTGTTGTGAAAGCACATCCATTGGGCTGAGTTTGATTCCTCGGACAATAAACGAGAAAAGGAAAGTGGTGGGAAATCCCTTGGGAAATAAATTGCTAAAGTTTTTTTTTTTCCATCATAACATCTTTTTTCTCACTAATTTGAAGAATGAACCAAGTTCAACTCAGATTCACCAAAATAAAGAAGACCCATAAATTTGATTTGGAGAGAGAAATTGCAGAAAGCAAGATGCAAAGCTTTTACTGTACACTCTTGTTTATTGGTAAGAAGAGCAGAAAGTAAGGTGCAGGATGATTAATCCTTTCAATAAGACCACAGAATGGTACAGGGAACACAGATGATGCATAATTAAAGGGAAAGTGAATTTAGAAAGACATCAAGCCTTAAAAAAGCAGAAGTTAGAATCATATTATTTTTGGGTAATCATATTGTCCCTTAACTTTCTGCTTCTCTTAATATTTTTACAGCAAATAAAATGGTAACATCTGAAAATAAATAAAAATGCAAGAAAGTGGAAATAACAATACCTTATTTTCATTCATTCACAGCAGAAGGAATTAAGCTAGTCCTCTCGATAAGTAGACAAGGGGAGAATGTGAGATTAGCCAAAGAAAAATAAAAATATAGAAAAAATACAATAGATTAAAAGCGGAAGTGCAAATGGAGTACCTAATTAGCTATTTTGATTAGTGAAAAGATTTTCAAGAAGGAAAAGATAATTTATAGCCCTCTGCTGGGCAACCCTTTTTCTTTCTCCAAGTGGAAGGACAAATTGTCCATTCTAAGACCGCCAGTGATCATTCTGCTGATGCTTTGGATTCACCAAGTGTTTAGTGCCTATTCATCTCCTCCTCCCTCCCCTCTTCAACTTTATAGCCCACTATTTGTTTGGGACATTGAGATTTGAAATTTAGGTTTTGATATGTTTGACAGATTTACACTTGATAATATTCATGTATTTTCTTCTTCTACTGCTGCTAAAATTTGTTGCTTTTACCTCCTGTCTGTCTGTCTTGCCATGATCTCTGATCTGGGGTGGAGTTGGAGACCTACCAACAGTGAAACAGTGAGATAAAATACAGAGACTGGAATGAAGGGAGGGGGGGGGGGTTGCTTTTTGCAAAGGGCAGAGAGATTATGAGGTGCCTTGGGGCTTGTGTTCCTTTGTGCGTGCATGCCTGTTTCTTGATTTGACTAGTGCCCTTGATTTTCCTTTTTGCCATCTTTCCTTTGTAACAGTTCCCGCCTGTTGTGCTTTCCACTGTGGGTCGTTTGGTGTACGATAATAGGTAGTTTCCCAAGCATATGAAAGAAAAGTTTCCTGGTGTAGTAAAGACTGAAAAGGCTATAATCTTGAGGCGACAAGCTTTTCCTAAACCAAAGATGGAAGTCCCATCGATTTTTTCTATCTTTTCTCTTGTTTGATCTTCTTCTCCCCTTGTTTTCATTATGTTTTCTTCTGGGTTCTATCATCTATGGAGCTGGATTAATTACAGGCTAAGCTGTTGCTTTTAGACACTAAACACTAAAGAAGATCTGATTCATTAATGGGTGCAGAATGTGCTCCACTATTCTTGTAGCCATCTCATCTTTTGATGTTAGGAAGTTGCAATCATGAAACAAGTTCAGAGAGGACTTTTTTTTGCCACTTGGCAAACACATTGTGGAGTGAGAGAGCAGATAAAATTCCCAAGTAATCCGGGTATTTCACTTTGATGGACAACTAGTCTATGTATCAAGTAGCAATCCTGCTGTGCCCTTGTTAATAAAACTCCTCAGGCTCAGCCCTCCCTCCCCTCTCCAACCCACAGCCCAAGAGGAAAATAACACTACAAAGAAAACAACAAAAGAAGAAATTGATCTATCCATACAAACTCTAAATTATCACCTGGTACGATCGAGCAGGCGTCCGGACAAGATATTTTTTTGCTTGGCTTTGGAATTGTATGCTAGTTGCAGGCTTAATTTAGGCCAGGTTGGGCCGAATCTTGACCAGCATAGTAGCAAATGCTGCTTATATATATAATGAGCTGTGGTGTCTGTGTTTCAGTAGCCCAAGCAATTGCATATGAAGATCAAGCTAGCTTAGGGCTAAATGGGGTGTCTTAAATCTTAATTACTTGTAAACATTCAGTATTGTTCTTCATCAAATAACAGAGATCTGTCAGGCTGAAAAGATGGGCTACCACATTGAGAAGCCAAACTGCATGGTCTTCAACAAAGAAAAGAACTGGCGGTGCCATTTGCCCGCATTTATAGTCAAACACGCGTTACAATTGCTATTGCTTAGGCTTTGGAGAACTCTATTGGCTCCACTACTGCCTTGAAATGGAGCTCTACTCAGGTGTACGTGGGCAGCAGACTTGTCTCCTCAGTACGATATCTGGTCAAATATGACTCTTGCCTCTGTTGCCTTCCACCCAGCTGCTTAGGGTCGACAAGGATGTAGAGTTGGGAACAACACACAATGAATTTTTGGTAATCTCTCTATATGTGGTGGTGAGGATATCAATTTTTGGTAATATCTCTCGTGAATAAATTGGTAAATCGGGTAATTGATCAATTATTTTACGTTTTCTCACCGTTATACTGGAATCTATAGAAAATATTTGTTTTTCAAAAATATCCCTTGGTTGTCTGAAGAAAAACATAACCATCTACCGTCAAACTCGTTATCCAGGTAAGTGAAAGGGCCACTGAACACTGGTATGATAAGCTTCAATGAATGGATGAATGTAATTGTCTGTTTATTTTCTTCTTTTTAATCAGATTTTTCTGTTTCTGGATGTGCATGTGTATGGCAGACTTCGAATCAAATGTAACCACCTTCAGATTGAAAATGGGTCATCTCCAAAACTGTTATCTAATCACGTTTTGATAAATTTCTTTGATTACAACCGCAGCATACAAGCAGCTGTGCTTTTCAAAAAGAAACGGAATAAATTAAAGAAAGAAGAGCGACAATAGAACGAAAAGAAAAACCAAGGAAAAGGCCAAACCAAGATCAAGAAACAAATTCTGATGTCTCTTAGAATTTCGAAGTCATGACTGTGATATCTCCGACTTCATGACATTTGATCTGATTCGATTCCCCCGGTGCAACTTCTGGCAGTCCTGACACACAGGAGGCTCCTTGCTAAAATTATTGGCGACATGCCATGCTGAAGCAAACCAGAGATGAACAATATTAAGGGGAAATTATTAGATGATCGGTAAGTGTTCATGAATTAGAGCTAGCTAGTATATACCAAAGGAAGATAATTATAGCGTCACCCACAAAAACTTCTATGAAACAAATGGCTCCAACTGTTCTTGACTTGACAGAAAGGTTAACAGTTCTTCTAATCTAATCAAATCCAACAAAATATCCAAACACCCGAATCCCATCTAATTAAACAAGCAACCACAAAACCATGGTCCCATCTTGCATTATTTAAGCGAAGCACCCTATTTTCTGATGAGATTAGTTTACAGACATCAATGATGAAACTTAGCAATGGCAACGCATGCAGTAGCTAGCTAGGAAGCTATGGATGCTTGGGGGTGGGTGGATAGAAAGTTTAAATAAAGCGAAGTTTGACAACCCAATATATAATTTTTGACTAATCTCTCTCCCCATTTAAGTTTTAAGTTTTTAACTCATGCCGAGTCGTTAAAATTTTTTGTTTCTTGAAAAAAGACCAGCTAGAATTAACAAATATCGATTAATCCTCAGTTTAGCTGCTTGCTCTCACATAATCACACAGACCCATCTCCCGAGATGCAATTTGTCAAATCTCTCTTTCCTCTCAACAAGTCAACTGCTTCTCTCTCTCTCTCTCTCTTTACATCTCTCTCCTAGATTCTGAATTCTGAATAAAATAACTGAACAAAGTTTTCTACTTCGAGTAAACTTACTGGTTCTCTCCTTTGTTAAACCTCACCCCGTAATTCTCCCACAAATTCTCGCCTTCAGCCATCAGATATCGAAAGCAGCTGTCATGCACCGTCGTGGTGGCGCCTGCATTAGAATTCGAAGGAGAAGGGGCGTCGTTTGGTTGAAGTCCGACGGTGTCAGGCCCTTGCTCGTCGGTGTCGTGGCCGCCGGAATAAGCCCTTCCCTGGTTGTATAGGGTGTCGAGGTTATGGGAGCACGGATAGGTTCTTGAGTTTTCCTTGCGTTTCTTGTTGCACTCCTTGTTTTCTCTGAAACATTTGTTGATTATCTCCCATTTCTCTTTGCATTGCTTCGCACTCCTGTTGTAGCCCAAGCAAGCCATCTTCGCTGAAATCTCCTCCCACAATCCCCCCTTTGAGAACTCACCATGCTGAATTCTGGATTCCATGCTGGTTCCCAGTTGTATTAGACTTGAGATCTCCTGTTCCGGCCATCTATTACTGTTCATGGTGCTATCAAGCGTTTCACTTACATTCTCATTCTGGTTTTCACTGTTATCGTGGAGGTCTGGGGCCACCAGCTCTTCAGTGAAGGAGCTCTTTAGTTCTCTTCCCGTAAACTTCCTCAAGGCTTCCATTAATGCAGCATCTCGAGCTTCAATCCAAGCTCGCTCCTTAGCCCAGAACTTCTGTTCTCTATCCAACCGGGCTGCCTCCTGCCTCCTCCATTCTTCCTCCCTGGACATCCTCTCTTGTTCCTTGTGTTCTAAGGTCTTCAGCATTTTCTCCAGCCAGGCCTCTTGCGTCTCCATTAACTTCCTCATCTGCGAGTCCACGAACTCTCTAATCTTCGACTTCCAGCTCCGTCGACCCCTCTTAAATCCTTGGCAGTCTTTCGACATCATCATCATCATCTTCTTCTTCTCCTTCCAGTCGTTTCCCGTGTAGGCAATGGCGTTGAGATCATTGCCGTTGTCTTCCGACGACGAAGAATCCAATTCAGAGGAATTCGACAGGCTGAGGCTCTCACTGAACTTTTGAGCTTGCAAAGCTTCCTGGGTACTGTTATTTGTGGTTCGAAATCGAGGACTGGTTTCAGCAACTCGGGTTTCTGAGACGGAAACCGGATTGCTGCTTTCTCCATATAGAGCCTCAAGCTGACGAAAAAATCTATAGTGCTTCCCATCTTGTCTCCCAGCTTTGCCTTCCTTAGTCTTCTTATAGTACTTGTATAAGTTCTCGAATTTTTCTCTACACTTCTTTCCACTCCTTTGGTACCCGTGTTCCTCTGCCATTATCCTGTGACCAAGAACACACACAAAATAGAAACAAATATATTAAACAAATACAGAAAACCCTAGTTTTCAGTCTATGAAATGTCTCGGACTCTCCTCGAGATGGAAGTGTTAGTATACTGCTGCCAGTATCCCTTCAACCACGATCTTGGGAAGTTGCATTAATCTCATCTCATATGAGTGCTCCTGATCCCTTCCTTACTTTGGTACTTTCCTACTGGCTAAGCAATTTACTTAGACGGTTAAACCTTCAAAATTTGAAGGAGTCTGGTATATGTCTAACAGAGAATATGGTAAGAGCATCAAACCCAGATGGGCCTTTTGTGGAGCGAGCTTCTTGGAGATGCCACTTCATCAAGCAACAGAAGTAAATCAACAATGGCCACCCGACCCGAGATTTCAAGGTCACTGATTTTTAACACAGAACCAGTGAGAAAATGGGGAAAAGAACACTTGGGTGTCTCAGTAAACTTGAGAGGGCTGTCATTTTCGGGAGCTAAAACCAGTAAAAATTAACAGATAGATTACTTCAAAGGGGTTGTCACTTTACAGTGCAAAACCAGTAAGAAAGATTGAGAACAGTTGTATTTCCTAGGCAAAAACTATACGAGTCTTTCATTGTTTTTTCGTAAATCTTCTAGAAACCTAAACAGCTGAAGAATCAGTGATCATCGTCACTGGAGCTTGGAGAAGAACACCGAGAATAAGCAAGAAGCTAAGACTTATAAATTGAAGCAAAAATACCTAGACACTTCATCCCACAGAGGTCCTTTCTGATTAGCCTCCTTGAACTTGGGATCAAGACGAGATCTGATCTCCAGAAGGGTGAGAGTCTCTTGTCTGGGCCATCTACCGTTCCCTCCATCACCACCGATACTGACTTCCATCTCCAATCCACCACCACCACCACCACATAGAGCAGCCGCAGAAGAGGAGGGGTTGGAATCAGAACGAAAGTCCACCACTCCACGAGGCAACACCTCACCTACTTGATGTTGATGATGACCACCTAACATCATCTCGTAATGCTGGCCTGCTGTCAGATTCCGGTGACCAGGGAACTGTTCTGTGGGTTGAGGGACTACCGGAAAATGGCTTCTTCCAGCCATCAACTGCCGTAGATCCGGCAGGCCGTACTGGTCCCCCATCTCCATTAGACTACAAACACACGCACACAGAGAGGGAGAGATGAAGAAGTATTGAAAGGCGCGGTAGAGGCGGATCGTGTCGTTCACGAAAAGCTCCAATTTATGCAGGACGTATTGGCCCCATCTCTGTTCTAAGTCTTTAGAGCGCTCTCTCTCTCTCTCACACACACATACAGAGACACACGCACGCTCTCCCTTGTACACTAGAGAAGAGAAGAAATGGGAACATACGTAATTTCTCCTCCAATAATATGATGCCACGATTCGGAAGGAAGACGACGGATGGAAATCCAATGAAAGCACTGTCAAGCTGACGCGTGTACAGTGCCTAGGATCTACCTTTTTGACCGACCCAACCCTTTTCCCTCTCGGCTCGGCGCAACTGTCACAACGAGCCAAGCCTAACGGCCCTAGGGTCCTTATCCTTGACATTGCATGTGGACCCGGTTCGCTGGGTTATTAAGTAATAAGAACTGAACCAGTCTGTTAGACCTGTTATTAGTATTATGGATCCGGCCACCACTTTTTGAAGAGTTTGATCGGACTATCAAAAATTTTCATTTGAAATTCAATCGGATCGAAGGGATGTGGTCGAGTTGCACTTGAATGCGATCCAATATTTGGATCCGATTGAAGGCCAATTGCCCACTTCTAAAGTCAAGAAAAAAAATAGTTCTCAAAGATAAAAAGATTCATTATTTTTTTGACTTGTGCAAATAGAATAGTTTTGATATAATAAAATAGTGAATTTATTAATTATGATACATATAGAAAAGTCAATCGATCGGATCAAATAATTAAAGTTATACCCATATTCGATCTAATTATTAAGCGGATCTAACTTTTGAAATTAAACCGATAACAGGTTATCCAAATCTGATTGAATCATAGGATCATAGTTATTTTAAACTCCACTGACTTTCCTGCCTGTTATTTAACAAATGGAAAAATCTATAATGCCGGAAAGACATGATATCAAAAACTGAAAGGCTTTGACCAATCAAAATCAATATAAATTTTGATCAAAACACATCTGACTGATAGTTTATCTCTCAATCCAGGTGCAGGCAGATAGGAGTGCCAATTGGGCTGGATTTGGTCCAATACGATCTAGCCCAATGTGAGTCCATTACAAATGGACTTGGTCCAATCCAGTTTAATGAATATTTTGGACCGGACTAGAGAGACTGTCCAATCTGTTCAAATTCTTTTTAATTTAGATTGGTTCCAACTCAAACCTGGTCCATTGACACCTATGTTCTTATCTTCTATCAATGGACCAGATATTGGCTCAATCAAATATAAATTCATTATGGACGGATCAGGTACAATCCAATATATGATATTGGTTTGTCCAATCCGTCCAAATTCAATATGTCTTATTGATATGTTCGATCCATCCAAATTGATTTTGATTAATTTGGACAGTATCCTACTCAAAACCAGTCCATTGACACCTCTACAGGCAGGATGGGATCCCAAGTCTCCCCTTCGGCCAGCAGCAGACCTTAGAAACCAGATAGTTGGCACCTTGCATTATTATGTCTTTTTGACATCATAGTTGAACCCTTCACAAATTAGACATCTATCCTTCCAAAATAGAAATGGATTGTAGTAAGAAATGATTTAAGCGTTCATAATTTAAGATATATACATCCTTGGATGATGATGAGATTTATGCATCCAAACTTATATGGCATACATACATCAAAGTGATCCACATGTTTGCCACATCGCCCAGGTGGAAAGGTGTTCCACCTGGCAAAGGAAAGCCTGTCCCTCAAAAGAAACATTTGAAACATGTCCAACGCCGACTAGAGTCTCACCCATCTGATGGTTGAAGTTCAAATCTGATAACCTCAAAAAATCAATAACATCTTCCCTTCACCCTTCCAAACCTTAGAAGCCATTAATAGATCAGGAATTAACACTAGTTTGATGTACTAATTCTGAACAAGCAACTTAAGTTTGGGTTTAATTATAAATATATATATATATATATATTGAACACCCAACTTGTGACGAGGGAAGTGAGCATTTTCTTGAGCCCTCGGCATGAAACAAAGCTCGAAGGAAAGCCTCATATGCCGGCCAATTAAAGCATGAATGTGGCTTATCATTCAACAATAGGAAATTATGAAATAGAGACAAGGCTGTGGACTTGATGAGAAACTTTTTTATCAGAATCTTTTTTTCTCTTATTTAAGGCATTATAACCGAGACAAAGTATCCTATGAAAGAATGTAGGATTTGAATCCTTTTAGTTTTTTGCCACTGCTGGGACTAGAATCTTTCTTTGACTCATAGGTAGGGTCTCTATAGGTCTATAGCATGACTGTAGCCTGCTGTTCGTTTCTCTCTCCCAACTTGAACGAATGAGTAATCTTGACCTTGAAATGAGACAAGATAATCATGAATTGGAGACCATAACAAATTTGCATCCTATAGGTGGATTTCTTATACTTGAGGCAAATAATATTTATACACTAAAATAAATACTGGAGAAGCATGATATAAAATACATAATAGGTATACAGTATTAACAAAATGATTTTTTAATTAATTAAACGCAGAAAATAAAAATCATCCACGAAGATCACTTACAGTGCCCATCAATGAAAAAAAAAGCAATCCACCAATATCAATTACAAGTTGAAGGGGTTAGAAGGGTTGAGGGTAGATGAAAAAGACATGACCGAAGTGGTAAGAAATGATTGATGCGCTTATACTTTGCAATAAATATGGTATATATAAAATGAAACAAAATGTCGAAGCTGACCCCATCCCCATCCCCATATATTTGAGATAAGGCTTAGATGATGATGACAATGAAACAAAGATCATGGATAATATTAGCTTCCTTCTTGACCAAAGAAAGAAAAACAAAACATGAATGGATAATACATAAATAAATACAAACCTTTTTATATAATAATTAGTTATTAAGAATGACAACTGTTTAAATATTTTATTTCAAACATTTGTATTAATCGTGCATTTCAAATTTGCCTCTACACCTTACTTGTTTTAGTATACATATTTATTAAGCTAGGGATAAAGGCAATTGCTTGGTGTGATGGTAAACACTTGGGCCAACAAACATGAGAATGTGGATTGAGTCCAAGAATGACAATTTTGTGCAAAAAATGCCAAAGGTTAAGTCTAATTTCAGTCATATCCTCCCAAGATCTTGGACCAGTATTGGGTAATGTCCCTTCTTTTTTTTTTTTATTAATTAGAATAAGAGTTCAGCAGAAGAAGATCTATCTAGTTGTTGTTAGCTTACTTAGAAAGAGCCCAAATCTCCTCCCAACAAAAAAAATCAGCATGTTTCAACATAATCTGTGTCCATACATCTCATACATGGTAAGTCCCGGTATTATGGTTAATTGTGTCGGCACAAACTATGTTGGAACTGTGTTGGGACAGTTTTTGTTGGCAAATGATCTCACTTCCCTAGGAAAGCTCTTATTGTCAGCAGGTAGAGAGATAAAGGCAATTTTTAATGTAGGGGTAGAAGTTGGATAAGGGATTTGAAGATTTTACATTCGATTGAATCCGAATATTTGGCCGGGTCATTCAAAATTTGACAAAATCTCAACCTAAATCCACCCAAATTGCACCCCTATTTAGTAATAATACTAAAGTTTTTTTTTAATTGAGAATCCTAGACTTTACTAATTAAAACTAATTTAGAGGGTACCAATATGTATAATTTCATTTTTCAATACAGGTAGTTTAGGTGGGATATATAGCCGGTTTTATATCATGCCTAATATATATATATATAATTATAAAAAGAGAAGAGGTCTGATGAGGTGATGATAGTACTGTTATGGCTTACTGGTAGTGTGGGGCCTTTGCCCCCATTGTACATGCATCAACCCCATGTGTTCACCACCAATTGACGGTGATGCGTCGGATGTCTGTCTAACACCTCTGATAGCCGGTACGATACACCACAGACACATTTAACAAGGCAAGTCTCATTGTTTTAGGCTGGATAAGGCTATCTTCAGTGGACTGTGGACCCTTGTGCCTACAGGTCTGATGAGTTGCTCAGCCTAAGCGTCTATCTGGTTTGTTTAAAAGCGAAAACTCGCATTCGGCCGAGTTAGTCATCGTTGTTTCTTATAAGTTAGCTCTCTACATTGTTGATTATGTCAAAATCTTACATCCTACACTTTGAAAGCTTCATGCTGGATCAATAGCTTTAATGCTAAATGGGGTATAGGATTCAATGATCAAGTGATATATTATAAGGGTTATGAAGACTTGGAAATAGTTTTTAGATGATAATAGGACTGAATGTAATGGTTAAAGGGCAATAAATAGGTTTTAGGCCAAATTGTTGAAAATTGTACATATTTACTATTAAAGGGTAGAAAAATAAACGGGCTTCTAAGTTCTAACATAAAAGTGTTTGAAAAATATTTTTGGCATAGAAACAAAAGGTTTTGGGTTTTGATGTAAACTAAAGAAAAATGTGAAAATAAAGAAAGTTGTACATAATAGCATGGTTTTGAAAACTTGATTGGATCGAACAATCAGATCGGTTGATCCAGGAACAAGTGAGAGGTTTTGAAAATTGCTTTCTGATAAAAAAATCGTTGATTTGGTCAACAATCCGCTGAATAAGACAGTTGAACTATCAAATTATCAATTCAAACAACAGTTTTTGTTTTATTTATTTATTATCTTTGAAGCTAGGATGGGCCGTCCATTCAAACCGGATGGTCGGACTATTCGACCTGAGAACCGATCCCCAAAACGGTTTCATGTCCAGTTTTGTTTTTAAAACCTTACATAGTAGTTGTAAGACTAGTTATCTTGCAAGGAATAGAGTGCTGAATATAAAAAACATGCCCAAAAATGAATGTGGTGGAGATGTAAATGCTCATATGGATGTGTGGTAAAACCAAAACAGATAGGGTAAGAAGTGAAGTGATATGAGATGATTTATTGAGAGAAAGTATATTGATGATGTGCATAGTAAATCATCTAGAACACTTGTAATGAAAAGTGATATGTTATAAGTAGAATGCACTAGAAGAACTTGGGACAAGTCAAAAGGGAATTGAGTGGGAGTAATAAGAAATGATTTAAAAGTGTCCATCATTTAGGTTGTGTTTGGTTTGAA